GAGTAGATATCATATTTATGTCTTAACACATATATATGATGTCACCCTTATATCTTAACACACAGAGTAGATATCATATTTATGTCTTAACACATATATATGATGTCACCCTTATATCTTAACACACAGAGTAGATATCATATTTATGTCTTAACACATATATATGATGTCACCTTTATATCTTAACACACAGAGTGGATATGATTAGAAATTAGGATTTTTTTCCGACTGTATAAGTTAAGTGTTTCTCTTATACTAGAAGTGAAGTTTTTTTCACAGAACATAACTACTATCATACAGAATAATTATTAATTAAGCTGTCAGCAACTCAGATTACACGTATACGGTGTCACCCTGCTAATGTGAAAATAGGGACGTTGAAATTCCCAATCATCATTCTGAACATACTCCTAGCCTGATCTTCGATCAAAGGGATCAGACTGCGAGTGTCCTGGTTTATCTGCTGAGTGATCAGCATGGACAGAGCCGAGGTTAAGTTCCCCAGCCCCCGTAGAAGGACCCGGATCTTTCCCAACCTCCAGATCCTCAGCCGATCTACCGTGATGGTGGTATCACCGTTTACTTTCTCAGTCTGAGATAATTGGACAAATATTTTGGTTCCGGTCACCTTGATCTCAGCATCACCGTTGAAGAGTAAAGTCCGATAACCTTGAAGCACGCGGTAATGACCACGCCCTCTCAACATATCGAAATGAGAGATGAAACCCAAGGTGATGATGCTGGTATTGTCAGAGGTGTTCCTACATATGACGTACGGTTCCCGCCGGAGGGAGATTGTAGTGATACCTCTGAAGCTGGTGTTGTACAGGAAAACTAAGGTGTGGGTATCCTCCACCCACACTGTGGTGTTGGTCAGCGGAAATGGTTCCATTCTTCGTAAAAACCTCTGGAGAAATCGGAAAAGAAAGTCCACATATGAATTCAACTCCGTGCCATTCTGGCACGGAATTTGCCTTTTCTGAATGGAATGATGTAAAGCAGGAAACAAGGTTGTGGTCTCGCGGGGCGTTGTAGACTTTGAACGTAACAACGTTTTTCCATTTGAAAGCGTTTCCTGAGGAGAGCCATTTAGTAGTTTATGTTCAGAAGTTTCAGTCATCTGAAAGATGGCTTCTTCGATCTGATCGTCCAAAACCGTTTCCATTTTCTCGACCACCGTCGATCCCAGAGCATTAAGAAAATTCCTGGAAACCTGATCACCGGATCCCTTGGGGTGTGTTTTACTGTTGAATGTGTTCGTGACGTTGTTAAAGAATGTTTGGACTGAAGACCCTTCTATCGCTACCTTAAATTTTAAACGCGGAGAGATCCTTGTTAGCCAAATTGTCTTGGCATTATACACGGTCCCCTCGAAAGTCCCCTTGTCTCTCACATTGTCGTGTGGATCACGTTTAGACAACAAGCCAATGTTGTACTCTCCAGTTATCCGAAGAACGGGGAATGTCAGCTCTAAGCTGACAGCTTTGACTTGAGGTTGACTTGGGAGTATTTTCATTTGGGAGAAAGACATTCCGCTGAGAACCACGTTTTGTAACGTGGCATTCACAACCGAATTGTTTTCTTGAAGTAATATCCACAGCTGATCAAGTTTAATGGGATCTATACTTCCAGGCCCAGTCTTTTTTAAGATAACGTTTTGTAGTTGATTCATATTCTTTTTCATGTAAACTTGCAAATCCGATTTTTTAACTATCACGTCGTCATTCCTCACGCTTCCAGTAAAGGCTTTAGACTGTAACATCATATTACTTGTAAGTTCACCTGAAATAAGACAAGATGTCGTTCATAAAAAAAACAACTAATATTGTAAGTAGATCTAGACGGATTATAAGCCGTCGAAACATCGAATAAATATTTCACATTTACATATCAAAATAAGAAGTCATTGTATTGTGTCACGCTTGAAAAAACTTTGGAAACAGAAACGATTATTAATTAGTTTTTACAAATGCCCTAAATGATTATTAATTAGTTTTTACAAATGCCCTAAATGATTATTAATTAGTTTTACAAATGCCCAAAATGATTATTAATTAGTTTTTATAAATGCCCTAAATGATTATTAATTAGTTTTTATAAATGCCCTAAATGATTAATACTGGTGTGAGCTGTCGATTTAAAGAATCTAAACATTGGAGAAATATCACATTTTTTATTGAACTTCAGACTCAGCTGGAAGATCCTGTTATTGACCAAGAAACTGGATTTTGTATCAATTGAAGAATATGAGACTATAGAAAAAATGTCTATTAACTTCTCTTTAGGGAAAGTGTACAGAATATTATAAGAGAGAAAATATTTAGAGTTTTTAATTCAATACACATATATACGTATGTATCCCAAAGTTGACATACTAGAAGAAACTGTGGTACGCTTGAATACAATACAAGACATGTTCTTAAAAATTACTTTAACAACAAAAAAATCAAGTGAACATTTACATCGCTTAACAAAACAGATAATTAGAGAACGGCCCCTAAAAATCTCAATTTAACACTTAAAACGACTCCACACTAACCAAGTAAACAATAATTACAGCATGGACACCATGGAATCATCTCGGGAACAAACAATTAATTACAGCATGGACACCATGGAATCATCTCGGGGACAAACAATAATTACAGCATGGACACCATGGAATCATCTCGGGAACAAACAATAATTACAGCATGGACACCATGGAATCATCTCGGGAACAAACAATAATTACAGCATGAACTCCATGGAATCATCTCGGTAAC